GAAGAGGGTAGGGAAGGTGTTTCCAAGAGGTTTACTTATACAAAAGGAGACAAGAGAGTTGCCATGCAACCACAATACCATAAGCTGATATAACAATAAACCAAGTAACGCCATTTGGCCTGGAGTGAGGTGATATATACATGTACATGTACATCATACATGTACATGTATCCATATTGAGGAAGGAAGGGAGGAGCTTTGGTCAGACAGCATAGAGGTCATAAAATCACCTCATTGTTACATAGCCTTGGGGGTAATGATTGCACACATACACATTGTGTGTACATGAAAAGATCTAAAAAAGTGGGGGAGGGAGGAAGTACATATATACATGTACATGTATGACTCTTGCATGCTGAAGGGCATGTGTGTCTCATTTACTCTATCTTTCTTTCTATCTTTCTCTCTTCTTATACATGTACATGTATTATGTATTTTTATTTGTTGTGCATGTGCATGTACTTATTAGTACATATTTTTGTGTTTTTATCTGACATGTATCATGCTGTGTTAGTTTGTTTTGTTGTTAGTTAGTATAGTGTACCTCATATCTACATGTACTATAATATGAGACTCCATAGTCTATAGGATATAGCCACTACAGTGAATCACTCCTTCATCGTAAATCAGTTGTTCAGAAGTGTGTTGGTTTTATGCTGGACTTTCACTTTTAGCTAAGAGTCGGGAAAAATTTAAAAGACGCTTGCCAACTATTGCAGGGGTATATTTATATGATGTACATGCACATGCAGAACTTAAAAATTCTACAAGAAAATACTTACTTTCTATAAGAATTACACAGGTTAGCTAGACAAAATAAATGTGTGTGGATGTACATTTGTACTTGAAATAAATGCTAATACTAGATGCATACCTCAGTTGCTCTAAATGTGATTCCAACAGTTTCCTAATGTCCTCTTGCTCAGTCAGGAAACTAGCTTTTAGCTTCTCTAACAACTGTGGCTGCTTAATGTCATCACTATTGATGTAAGTCCTATAATTTAAAAGAGGGAAATTGATACATGCGTGATGTGCATGTACATGTACGCGTGTACATTTAAAGTTCATGAACCCACGAATATGACTTAAAAACACAAAATTAAATCAGCATAATAATAAATATAATAACAATTAAATCATCATTACAAATACATAATTATTAAATCATGCAACACAGTATGATTGCATCAGCTCTGACCTCACCTAAAATCATTCTCCGCCCCTCTTGATCTAATGGTTGACCACTGGGTCCTGAACGCTGTGAAGTGACACCTGGTCCTTTGTTCTCTTTTATTGTTGCCTAGGATACCATAGTGTTGTTAGCCAAGGGTGAGGACCACAGTTTACAAGAGCATTGGCAGTAGGGCCAAAAAATAGGTATATGTGTAGTACATGTACATGTATTTACAACAGTGTTCATAGCCTCTGTGAACTACAAGACACCACTAATAAGGATGCCATTATCATGAGGAAATTCAGGAAACCTCTGTATTGAAGATATAGCTACATATATGCATGTATATGTATGTGTAGGCCCAATGGTGTCCTTAATAAAGAGGCTACACTGTACATGTGTTAAGGACAGGTAGTGTGGGACCAATGGTGTCCTTAATAAAGAGGCTACACTGTACATGTGTTAAGGACAGGTAGTGTGGGACCAATGGTGTCCTTAATAAAGAGGCTACACTGTACATGTGTTAAGGACAGGTAGTGTGGGCCCAATGGTGTCCTTAATAAAGAGGCTACACTGTACATGTGTTAAGGACAGGTAGTGTGGGCCCAATGGTGTCCTTAATAAAGAGGCTACACTGTACATATATTAAGGACAGGTAGTGTGGGCCCAATGGTGTCCTTAATAAAGAGGCTACACTGTACATGCATTAAGGACAGGTAGTGTGGGCCCAATGGTGTCCTTAATAAAGAGGCTACACTGTACATGTATTAAGGACAGGTAGTGTGGGCCCAATGGTGTCCTTAATAAAGAGGCTACACTGTACATGTATTAAGGACAGATAGTGTGGGCCCAATGGTGTCCTTAATAAAGAGACTACACTGTACATGTACATGTATTAAGGACAGGTAGTGTGGGCCCAATGGTGTCTTTCATAAAGAGGCTACACTGTATTGCAATGTGCTGTATACATTAAGGCTTTATATAATGGACACTTTGGGTCAAAAAATCTTGTTATTCTATGCAGAGGTTATTTCATACAGTAATTAAGAAATGCAATTAGTACATTAAGTGCTGTCTGTTAAATGAAGGTACATGTACATGTACATGTACCTGTTTGAAGGTCACGCGAGAGACGTGAGTAGTTCCTCATGTTTCCCAGGACTGAGAGGTTGATCCTCATTGCTTCCTCATCAATGACTCTACACACTTGATGAGAGAGAAGATAAGATATTGAGTTGAGGGACTGGAGCGTTTTAGATAATAAATGAGACACCTGAGAAGGAAAGGAGAAAGAGAGAGAAGAAAATTAATAAACAACACGTGTACATGTACGTGCAACAATTCATCATAAACAACAATTATCATCACATCGTACATGTTCATTTGTATATGCATGTACATCAGACACGTACTGTACATGTACATGTACATGTATTTGCATGTACATACACGTACATGTACATTTAGCTGACGTGTTATTAGTGCGTATATACTCCAAGGCGTCACGATTTGGCACTAGTAACATAATCACTAAAAGAGATCACAAAAACTATCACACGTACACTACAATACTACACACGTATGTACATGTACACGCATGTATTGAGAATTTCTAGTAAATAAAAGCAGTTCGACGTTATTATTATAATTATTTCTAATAATTACAATTAAATAAATTAGAATTTATTGTGTGTGTGTGTACCTTCTTCACATAAAGTCTCTCTTGTTCTATTGCTTTTTCTTCAAATGCTACGATGGAGTCTTTCTCTTGTTTTAGATATTCTTCGGCTTTTAACAGAAGAGCATCAACACTACTGGACTTTAACAGGAGCAGAGCCTGTAATGCAATAAATTACAAGTATAAATGTAGTTTTATTCCCTCTCTTTCTCTCTCTCTCCCTCACTCCCTCCCTCTTTTAATTAAAAAAAAAGAAGAGAAAGGAAAAAGAAAGAGGGGGAGGGAAAAAGAAGAAAGGAGAGAGGAAAGAGAGAGGGAGAGAAGGAGGAAGAGAGAGAGGGATCAATGGAATATGAAAATTAACTAAAACTGAGACAGCTTTGAGACAGGGAGTGGTACAGACAATCAAACACAGACAATGGACAGACGGACATCAACAAAAACAACACACAAAATAACATGTACATATACTTCACTTATCAGGCTATACACTATTAATACGGCTGGCCTGTATTAAAAGTATCATACGTTATGAGATATGGAGTCCTTGCCAGTTGGTTGTAAAGAGCGCTATATAAGTACATGTATTAAAAGATTATCAATGTACAATATTTGGTAGAGGTGTCTGGCCAAAAGGTATAGCTGTTAGTAGTAACTGAGTGTGAATGTGTAAAGCTTTAATAAAGAGAGAGAGAAA